TCTTTTATTTCTACTTCTCCCTCCCTCTCTTTCTTTCGTTCTTTTCCCACCCAGGTTTCCGTTGCGTCCCGTCGTTTAATGTTCGAACGAGGCGAAGAAGCGGAGGCGCGCGATTTAACGGGGATTTTTTCTCCTGGATCGTTTGCTCTGCGGCGACGGCCGCGTTAACCGCGACTCGTCTTGTTTCACGCGCAGCGCTTGATTAAGCGGTATAAGCGGCCGGCTGACGAACCTTTACCGTTACCGGGCTCTTTTATTGCCAGGGACAGGCTAATGAACCGCCTGCAAACTAAAAATCTACGTTTCGCCAATTTTTCTTCCGATGCGACGCAATGGCGGGTCGCGGTTCAACCCTTAGAACTTCTGCGACGGCTTCGGTCCAATTAGAGGCTTCGCGCATCGTTTTTAACTACGGACGAGAATATTTTACGTTCGTCCAAACTGTTTTTACGAAAAATTGATTCGTTTGAAGTGTGAAATGTTAGGAAAGGAGGAAGTTAGGAAATCATCTCTCGCTATTCGAATGATTGAACTCTTCATTTGTGACTTTGAATTTTAGATATCGAATCTCGAAGTCGCCGTTCGATTGGAGGAGTGTTTAAAATTGTAATGTTTCAGTATTTTCGGTCATACGCGAAAGATATCTGGTAGTATATGAAGCGCAGCTTCAATTCACGTCTAATTTAGCGAACTGAAAGAGAATTGAATTTTAGTTAATATCAATTAACTTTGATGCGCCTGTAACAGTGTATAGTCGCATAAACTTCTACGATCTCGTTACGAAGACCGTTCGCTTATTAATGGCTAGTGAACTCATTAGTGTGAAAGCTATATATCTAATTAATGGTGGGGTTACTAGCGAAGTTTATCACCCCCTCTTAAAAGTACCTCCTCACCCACTCGACTCTTGCATCATTCGAATGACGGAAGTCGCTCGTCCGATAGCGTCCGCTATATCTCTTACAACCGTGTTGCGTGAGACACTGTGCGTAATTACATTTCATAAGGGTCTTATCTGCTGAATCATGTGTTCCCACAATCTGTCTAACGAAACCGATCACTCGAGCCGGGATCTTTAAACAAACTCAAATTTTTGAAAGCATAATGAGAACAGTAAAATTTCGATAGAGAATAGTTCTCTCTAACAAGTATCATAAAAAGAGCTCAAGTTTTAGATTTCAGATTCAAAACTTTCCGATTTCGAAGTTCAAATTTCAAACTTCAATCTTCCATTGTTTCGAAATTTCAAGTTTCCCATATATTCCTACAAATCCAGTCTACTTACCGTCTATAACGAATCTACGGACAATCGATAACGCGACAACTGAAGAACATACGTTCGCAAGCGACGCAACTTCGATGATCCGATTACCGTCGTTATCTGACATCTATCCCACTCGTAGCACAAAGAAGTTTCAATTGGATTACGATCACTATGTAAAAGAAATAAGAGCTTCCGTATCCGAAGTAGAAAGCGGTCGAGTGGAAATATTCCTGGAAACGAGGTACGATTCGATGTCGTGCGGAAAGGTATCAGCCGCGGGCGACGGGGACGAGCGGTGAAACGAAATTGAAGTTCCGATCGGAGGAAAACGATCGATCGCGTTGAAAACGGTGCTCGTGACAAAGTATCTGTAACCAGGATCGGCAATTAACCTTTCGATCGCGAGCGACGTGACGAGGAGGCGGAACGGAACGGTCGGCTGTCAGTCGCGGAACACGCGGAAAAAATCGAGGGGAGATGGCTCCGTTAATGCAGGATCGCTGGACGAGTGCAAAAAGAAGAGCGCCGTGATTTTTCGGGACGATACAACCTTGGCCCGGAAAGATCGTTCGCCGAGAGGAGTCCGGAATCTTTCAGGCAACTGCTTAATTTCCCGTTCATCGTCGGTTGTCCGTGTTCCGATTGATATCTCGTGAAGACCGCTTTGAGAGGCGCAAGAATTGGACATCTGCGTCGGTTCCCCATTCATTTCGGTAATTCCGCGATCGACGTTTCGCACAAAAAACGAGGAAGCTTCGGAATGGATTTTCGTGCTTCGGAAGAGGACGATATTCGTGATCGGCGATGATTACGGTGGACATTCTTCGGATTTTACATTGAAATGTTTATATTCTACGTCCGGCCGGAGAAACGTTGTGGTAGAATTCGAAAAAGAGGTTTTGCTTGTTTCTCGCTGGCAACGGGACGACGTTCGAGGAGACGGCCGCGCAAGGCTTAAAAACCGGCAGACATCTGCTTCATTTCCCATTCGTCTCGGTGCTCCTTCTTTGTATTCATTAACAAGAGAGGAGAAAAAGGATGCGAAGAGGGACCGAGATATTCGAGACTGCGGGACGATTTAAAGAAAAAAAGAAAGGAAATAAAGAGTTGCACGCTTTGGTCCGTTCAAAGCGGAGGGACAACGCGAAGATCGTTCCCTTTGGCAGACTCGAAAACGCCGGGGATCCGTATCGTTCCCCCATTCACCCCGATGCGCTCTCTCCAAATTAATTAATGGCGGAGAGCGAATGCGCAAGAGTCGCGAACGGCAACGGTCGAAAGGCTCGAGTGCCAGGGGAAACAAGAGCTGAATGACCCTCGAGATTTTCGGGTCCGCTTGGGAACGTCGGGAAAGAAGGGTGGTTTAACCCTTGGTCCGCTTCAAGACTGGGTTAATCTAGATCCAAAGTCTGAGTAGCTTTGTTTGCATTCCTATATCGCAATGTTTCTCTTTTTTCTCGTTCATGAGGAATAAAAACACAAACAAAACTGATATTAAAAATATTTCTTGAATTCTCATCCCCAATGGGTTTATATGCGACAACTCACTACCGATGCAGTTCTACTTACAAAGGTTTATAACTTCAAAATCGAAGTAACTGCGATCATATAATATTGTTCCGATTTCTTTCGCTTCAGGGCAGCGCAGTTTGAACAGGTATTCGATTGCCAAGCATTCTCATTATTAGACTTCTGATAGATAAAGCCTCAAGGGTATCAGAGCTAAGATTCGAAAGAGTGCAGAAAGTATTTAGTCATTCGCCTGTCTCGCGTAGCGAACGGATAAACGCGCGACTCGCGTGAACGACGACCCGCGGATTCGAAGCGTGCGTGCGGGGCGGCAAAAAGCGAAAAGGGGATCGCCTATCCTTGACACCGATCGCGACCTCCTCTCGCCTAACAGTGTCTCCAGGCGGTGGTTTCCGGTTCGCGGGCCGTCCCCTCGCGACCGGAGCCGGCTCGATTTCGTTTTACGAGGCGAGAACTATTCGTCGACATAGTAATAAGGCGTTATTCCCGTGGAAGCACCGCTTTTACGAGTGGCCGGGCTCGTAACGACCCGCGCTCGGCCCTCTCGCGCGCCCCGCGACTCGCTCGCGCGCGCGCGAGCGGTTTCCGGCCGCGGTCGCCGCCGCAACGCTGACCGTTTACGCCCCGAAATCGGCGACAAAGTAACACCGGAAGATTTTATTCCCTCTCGGCGGGGCCGAGCGCCGCTGCGGTTTTTACTGTCGCGCGCGAGCGAGCGAGCGGTTACGAGGCACTAAATTATCCCGGCCGCGCTCTCCGGGAGCAATAAAACCGCGCGACGCCTGAGCAAA